CTTTCACTGGATTTGTGATTTGAATGCACAGCACCTGGAAATACGACAGAGTTCCAACCTGAAACTTCCTCATTTACTCACCTTTGGTAGAGCTGTGTGTGGAGTTGTGTGTCCCTATGACTCACGTGGCTTGTGCCTGGAGCAGATGGCCTGCCTGGCCGCAGTCCTGGGCGGAGCTGTTGGCTGTGGTTTAAGCGGAAGGCAGGCAGCATCTCCACCCTGGGTGGGCTTCGCTCCTCTCCTGAATTCCACTTGAGGTGAGGGAAAGTAATTTTCTATGAAAATGGCAGGTTAAAAGCAAGAATCAGAGCTGGGTGCGGAGGCCTTATTTGTGACCCCAGCTACTCAGGGGGCTAGGATTGCAGTTCGAAACCAGTGCACGTTTGTAAGACTCTTCTCTCCAATGAACCAGCCAAGAGCCAGAGGAGAAACGGTGGCTCAAGTGGTAGAGTACTAGCCCTGAACAACAACAACAACAACAAAAACTAAGGGAGAGAGAGAGAGAGACCCTGCCCTGAGTTCCAGCTCAAGAACTGGCGTGCACGCATGCGTACACACAGGTGCACGCACGCACATGCTAACACACAGAAAGCGTAAGGTCTGTAGGAGCAGCTGTGAGCCTCACTGCACACCTGTCAATGCCGAATTCACATACACAGCCTCTTATCTTCTCTCCTGGAGGTCCACAGTCAGCCTTTGGAACCTGTTTAAAAGGCAAAAATTGCATTCTGTGCTATCCACGGCTCCTCTCCTCATTCTACACTGTGAATATTCTGATGTGGCACCTAAGGAGCGCTTACATTATGTGCCGAACCATTTTTCTCCCTGTCAAATGACTTTGCCAAATTGCTTTCTGATCAGGGCTCTTCCGCAGGGCAGACTTCCTGCCCCGCTCCGACACACAGATTCTGTAACAGGCAGTTGCAGCCTTCAATGCAAAGGATGCATGTGAGCTGTGCATGCACGCACACGTGCACACTCGTGGCTCCTGCTTTCCCAGAGATCTGTGTGGTTATGGAAAACATATCGAATAGCCAGGATGACTATGGAATTCAGAACGCCTGTGACATGGGCAAGGAAAACACTAAGAACCATGCTTTAGATTGCTTTAGATTGACACCTGATGAACTCAGAAGCAATACACACTACACTCTACAGTGTAGTCTGTACGTTTACCAGGACCCAATGCAAAGATTTTCCAGTCTTCAGCTAATTAAATACATCACCTCCTTTAGCAAAATATTTTCCCAATGAAGGCAGGATAACATCAGTGCCCTTTTGTGCTATAATTTTACGAAGATATTTACAAGTTAAGGGGAGAAAAACAAATGGGTTCGTGGGTGCTTTGTTTTTAAAAGCCTATTAGTTGTCCCATATTGTCGTTATTAGAAATGGAGAACTATTGTCTAGCCCCACGTGCAAAAGTGTGTATATGCAAGCGTGTTTCTGTTTTTCACTAGTGCTCAATGCTTCATACCAAATATGATAGAATTTCCAGTTGGGCACACCTCTAATTGTTCTGCATGATTCAAAATGTAACAGTATTAATAGAGGAAGTAAGACCATTGGCAGTGGAAGATGTTACATTAGCATAAAATATTGTTATTTCATCTAATGGGAGAATATCTTACTTTCAAAAAATAGCTCATTGCCCAATGTTGGTGGTTAAACCAGTAATCTCAGAAGATTGAGATCTGAGGTTCAAAGCCAGAACATGCAGAAAAGTCCTTGAGACTCTTATCTCTAAAAAGATCAAAATAGACCACCAGCCTTGAGCCGAAAAGCCAAGGGACAACACCCAGGCCCCAAGTTCAAGCCCCAGTACTGGCGTGTGCATGCGCACACACACACACACACACACACACACACACACACACTTCACAATGGGTATTATATACTATTGAATAAAGCAATAGCTAAGCCAAAGACTCTCTGCAAACAGAAACACACGGTAAAATGTACAGTGAATTATCTTTCCTCCATTTTTTTTAGCAAATAGAATTTGATTGCCAGGTTCTTCATAGAATGATGAGACTTTTGTATTTTATTTCTATCCCCTCTGTCCTTCTGTTGTGGAGATGTTTTCTGAGAGGAGAGTCGTATTTCAGCAAACATAATTAAACCATCACAAACATAGCCTTCCATTAGTCAGAGTCGAGTTATTGCTCTTGCTGGAAACACAAGGAAGTATTTTACATTCTGCTGTGGGAGGAACAAGAAGAGGGGACACTAAATATTTCATGGGTTTTTCTTGATCAAATTGTTTATTTCCCGGCCTCTTAAAGAGATACTAATTTTTTCCACAGCTATGTTCTTCATCACATTACAGAAGTAGATATGAAGAGCAAAATTTGTCTAGGATGCCCAAAAGCTGGCTTTTTTTTTTTTTCAGGAATGAGGCTTACTGTGTGCATAAAAATAAATCTCCTACTGTTCATCATAAAATGTCCTTGGCATTTGATATGTTTTCTAAAGCTATATTCTGGTAATGTTCTGTATCTAAGGTTGGTGGGGGTGGGAAGGGGAGGGGGGCCGTGGGTGGTGGGAACCCTAATTTGATTGGTGTGTTTTGATATATGAGTTTTATGCACGGATAAAAAAAGGAGACACTAGAGGGTGCTGTTTTTCTTTTTTTCCCACAGATGTCAGTATATACACACACACACACACACACAAACACACACACACACACACACACACACACACACAGAGAAAAAATCCGAACAGGGCAAATTGCGATGAAATACGAAGTGTAGACATACCCTGAGCTTCGGGAGAGAGAGCCTTGCAGAAGCTTCCTAACCGAGTAGCTGCTTAATTAATTCAGAATTAGTAAAGAAAGTAAGGCTTTGCTACTGGAGCCCTGTGTGGCTTGTCATCTTCTGATAATTGCTTAATTCCTCGGGTTGAAAGAAATTTTATTATATATCAAGCTCTTGCTAAATGTCAAATGGTTCTAAAAATAGATGAGTCTAAACTAAACAATTAGTGCTCTTTAACTTTCACCAAGGATTTCGGGTAGGTAGGCCCTTACCCAGTACTGGTTAAGGAACTAGTGACAGCATCTCGATGGTCACAAATGACCACACACCACCCCACCCTTACCAAGTGAGTAAGATTCTCAATTAACTTCCTTTTCTAATCTTTGCTACGTGCATGATTTTTCTTTTTTTTCTCTTCCCCCCTGCTTGAGGTAAATCTTTTTTTAAGATTATTTTTTGAGTACAAGGAGAAGGTAATGTTCTAGAATTATCTAAATGCCGCTATGGCATATGCCAGTCTGGCATTATTTTCTAGCAAAAACGACACTTGTCTTTCCTGTCTGTGGTGGTACAGATCCCGAGGTGGGGGATGGCTTGTGTGGGGGGTGGAGGAAGGCTGGCAGGTGAGGTTCCGTGTGCTCAGGTCTTGGAACGTTTCCCTGGCCAGATGGAAGCCACGGGCCAACGGCAAGATGAGCGCCCCGTGGGCGCAGAGGACACGCCCATGTCTGAGCGGCTGAAGGTTAATTTCAGTCAGGAGCCCTGCACTGGCCCGAGTGAGAATGAGCCACCACCTTGGACAGAGGTGGGAAAGGGCTGGGTGATCTTCTCCAGGTCAAGCCAAGCGCTGAGCTCATCGGCAAGGTAACCCAGACCCTGTCAACCACCCCAGGATGTCAGCCAGAAGGAGAACCCACCGCCTGGAGCAAGCAGCAAACCTTCCCTGTTTTAAGTCCCTAAGAGCTTGGGATTTCTGGTAATAGCTCCATAATGGCGGCTCATTCTGATGGCAGACAAGGGAAGAATGTCCACCGAGTGAGAAAGCCAACTTGCCCAGAGCTAAGCCGCAGCACGAAAGCATCTAATTACAAAGTTCTGAAAAACAGTACTTTCCAATTTAGTCGTTTCGAATGACTTTGATACGAGAATCAATGAAGGGGAGTTAGCAAGTAAGTCATGTACCGGTGCATGGCTTTGTTTGCGGTTCACCTAAGGAACTCATGTCAACAACTGAGATGTCACTGGGGTTAACCGTAGTCTATTTCCTGGGTTTCACTGTAGCTTCTACGGTACAAGTGCTGGCCTGGATTCTTCTTGCAGGGCAGGGGAGTCAGAAGCTGAAGACAAACGAAGAACATAGTATCGCTTTCTATCATGGTGAAGGTGAAATATGGAGGTTCAGCTTGAATAGATGGTTTTACTGTATCCATCTCTATGCTCCCCAAATAGGCACCCATACACTCACACACACATCTACAAACATACACACATACATACACATACACACCCACGGACATGCACACTAACAATGCTAGGCATCGCTGCTCTGTGTTACAGAGATCCCAGAAAAAATCCACGCCCACTTCAGAAAGAGACTTGGAGTGTGTTACCTGGTTTTTAACCTTAGAAGAGGAAGCACTCCAGAGATCTAGTTAGCGGGCCTTCCATTTTGCAGTTAATTACAGCTAATGCTGCTTCTATACCACTCACCGCGGAGGACGTGCCCTGCTTCTCTTACAAAGCACCTTTCTGTGCTGCGGATGCTCTGTGTGCACGGGGAGCAGGAGCCCTCGGGGCGGGGTGGAGCTCCGCCCACGGGGCTGCCCGGTCCAGGGGCAGCTGTTTTTACAACCTGTGTTTCCACCCTACCTTGCTACTCAGTGCCAAAGCTTAACAGCTGGAGGAACGAGCTGAGTCACCAGATGATGAGAATATTTGAACACGAGGTTTATTTAAAGATAAAACACATGAAAAATTATGGGGTTGATTTGTCATAAAAGGGGGGGCTTGGGTTGTGGGGTGGGATGAGGGGCGGGGGGTGGGGAGCTCTGCAGGCCCGCCCAGGCAGACGAGGTCAGAGGGTGGGGAAGAATCTCATCATGAAACAAGAGAGCAACGTGCGCGTCAGAGACCACCCTTCCAAAACACCAGAAAGACGCTTTTTTGGGGGGGGGAGAGGAGGGGAAAGCACACCTTCCAGGCGTGATTCCAAAATCATTCCAATGGCCCTGGCTACAAAACAAAATAACAAAAGAACCACCCCCTCCCGGTGACCCAGAGATCGCAGTGATGTCCAGGCAGACGTCAGGTTAGACTTCCTTTCCGGATTTTTGTTGTGATGACTAGAGGTTTCTAGTGAGCACTGTCGGGGGGTGGGGTGGGAATTCACACTCTCCACGCTTGCTTTTCCCACCCCACTGCAGACACTGACAGAGGCATGGGGGGGGGCGGATCACGGGTCTCTGGGCCTGTAACCAGGAGGAAGGGGCTGTACTTAGGGACACACACGCTCTACCCTGTGAGGAGTTGCAGTGAGGAAGTTACAGTACTTTATAGAGCCACCTTGAGTTGATTATGAGGTCAGGCCTGATGTGTACACAAAGTGCCATAATGAAATCTGCGTCACGATGAGCAGAATTGTCCAGACTTGAAGCTCGATGGAAGAATTGGAGGCTGTGGACAGAGAGGACAGAGTGAGTGCTTTGGTGGGGGCCGGTGGGTGGGGGGTGTCAGTTGCATAGGGTTCAGACATCTTCGCAGCACCCCGCTAGAGACAGGAGACTTCTGATCTCGGGATCCACTTGGTCTCAACGGCAAAGACATAGAATGGATCCAGTCTTGAAGAGAATCCTGCTGCCTTTGCTGCAGAGACAGGAAGACCAGGCCCCCCCAAGGCCAACCAGAGCCCAGCTGCCCTTGGGGGCCAGATTTATGGCCAACTACAGCCCCGAAATGGCTCCTTTTTAATTGTCTGCATCTTTTAGGAAGAAGGATCAGGGCTGTACAGGGTAAACTTAAAACAAAGCGATACACAAAGCTGAGTGCTAGCGTTCCCTGGGAGTTTCCTCATCTTTCCGTGTGGGTCCCCGACATTTCAGCAGGCACACGGCTGGTCGGGCGGGCCTCACACGGGCCTCACTCCTTCTGGGGCAAGGAGCCTCCTGGGTCCCCCCGCCAGCCCCTCACCTCGGCAGCTCCTGCCGTCCTCCTGGAGAGTGCCCGTCACGCAGCTGCACAGAGGCCCGTCCACCCGGCTCGTGCAAATCTGCTCACACCCTCCGTTGTCCTCACACCAGTCCAGCCCTGAAAACAGGCAGGTGGGCAAATTAATGAGCCGGTGGGCAAACCCACCAGCCACAGGCAGGCAAGATGAGCCTTGAAAGAGAAGAAAGCCTAACACGTGAAGCCCAAAGGTGGTTTGGCTTTTAAACTAGTGAAAAGATTTCTGGAAGGAAGCTGTCTGCTCACGTCGCCCGCACCCCCCCCCGTCCTCCCTCCCTCCCCTCCCACTTCCCCCCCCCCACCCCAGGCCACCTCCTCATCCACCAGACCCACGTCGCAGGTGAAGCGGGACTGAGCCTTCCAGGCCCATGGTCTTCATAATTTATAGCGTGTTTCGGAGAACATACATACTTTTCCTTCTAATAGGCCCCACTGAAATGATCTGTTCCTTGGGCTCCTTTGCGTAATCCTTGGCAATCCTGGAATTTTGTGGGCAGTTCTGAAAGAAAGAACAACCGGCGGGGAATTTTCACACAATTAATTTGATAACTTATTCTTCCCCATGTTTCTGCTTCCAGTCGAGGCACTGACTCTGGCCGCCAGCACTATGGCTGCTCAGATTAATTAGAACCAATGCATTCTTGATCACTGGGCCCGATGGGACTCTAGGCTTTATGTCGAGCGGAATTAAAGACACTCTCCACACTAGAATTAGATGCAAAGAGCCTCTCTGCTCCGAGAGTGAGGGTTGCCGAGTCTCCTCTGAGTGCCCTCTGAGAGCCGATCTGACAATGGATGAGCGTAAGCTGGAATATCTAAGGTTAGAAGCCAGGCTTTGGGGCAATCAAATCTCATGGCCGTAACTACACGTGGTGACCACGTCTGCGGCTGAGGAGAGGATGGGTTTGAACCTCACCCTCATCCTGCCAGCCCCTCCAGAGTTTGGGGCCCTGGTGAGTTTTAGAGGAACTATGGGAGTATTTGCATACATTTACAAGGAGTTTGGTTTTACAGTGGAGTGGAGCTCAGACCAACGGTCATTAGATTCGAGTTACCTGGCCCAAGAAAGTAGACCCCCCCCACAGCACCCACAGAAATGTGGTTCCAAGGAGATGGCCACTGAGGGAAAGCAGACACTCCGAGTGCCTGGCGTGCAGGTGTCTGGTGTGCAGGGCTGTAGTGCAGATTATGGATTGGTTTTCCCCATGATCCACCCAACCTCCTCCTTTCCACCAATCTGCAATGTTCACTTTCTCGCTTGCATTAAGAATATTCACTTTTACCTTGCTTTTTGGCCACCATTTGCTTTTCTGAGGGGGAAGGATGGGGAGAGACCAATTTTCATGAGATTAGAGTCAAGGAAACGCTCTGTAGATCTCAGAGTGGTTTAGACACAAGGGACACGGATGCAGTAGAGACCGAGCACTCCCCCCCCCTCCCCTCTGCTGAACTGTGGGATGCATGTGTGCATTCTCTGCAGATCTCAGAGTGGTTTAGACACAAGGGACATGGATGCAGTAGAGACCGAGCGGCTCCCCCCCCCCACCCCGTGAACTACTGAACTGTGGGATGTACGGGTTGATTCGTCATATTTTTGTTTTTGAAACGTCTTTTGATTTTTAGGATTAATTATTATTTTAATAGTCACACTGGGTCAAAACCACGTGTCATGAATTTGCAGGACTTGCTGAACACTCCTGGAGATGGCTATAGTGGTCTTTAACTGGGCAGTTTGGTGCCCCCCAGGGGTTACCTGGCAATGTTTGGAGACATTTTGGGGTGCTAAAACTGGAGGGTGGAGATGACTTGGGCCGGATGTGAACTTCTTAGTCAGTTATAGGTGAATCCTCCAGGACAAAAAGTATTTGTTCTCAAATGTCAATAGTTTAACATGAAGGTGCCCTGGTCTAGTGTAAGGACAAGTGACATCTGGCTTAGCGAATGGCCAGTTGACCAGCTGACAATTCCGAGACAGAGGAGTGAGTGGACCTCACCCCTCCCGGGGCTCCCCATCCAGGGTGACCCCTTGTGCGTTCCCAGCACCCCCGGCAACCTGCTGGGAGCCCCAGCTGAGCAGCCACACTTACAATTTTACACGAGTATTTTTCTGAGTCACAGAGCGACACAGCACAGTGAAGATGAACCTCGTCGTAATCCCCGATGAACTTAAAGACGGTGACGTGAAAGCGGCAGGTGAGGGAGACGCCGTTCTCCTCGATGCCAATGGTGTTATCTTTAATGTTCTGACACCTGTGCAGAAAAAGAGCCATGGCGGCGCTGCCTCACAAGCGCTCCTCTGAGTGACTCCTCACCTTCAAGCTTCCTGTTTCACATAAAACCCTGCTCAACAGGGAAAGTCATGAGTCCCCGAGGCCTGTCCTTTATGGTCACTCCCTCTGATTTCCGTCATTTGTTTCCAACCTCTGAATGCCACTTGGAGCTAGTAACCCAACTGCAACTACACTGGGAACCGTGTTCCATTCCCCCTTGCTCCAAGATCTCAGCAGACGCCCCCTCATGATGCTGTGTTTTTACAGATAGCAATTTGACAAACACAAGACCAGTCTTCTCTGTACTTTGTACAGTTAATTATCGGTGTTGGCAGGGGCCCCGGATTCGAGCCCTTGGGAGCTCTTCCCACGCATGCTATCATCGGTAGCCAGGGAAGAGGGGGAGGAACAGAGATGGAGGGAAGGAAGCACAGGGGAGAGGGAAGCTGACTGCCTCCTTCTCAGCTCCCTTTCTCCTGGTGATAGGGAACCAATATCCAAGACATCCTCCTGGTGCAGCGATGATGCTTCAGCTGATTACAAATTCCCCAAAGGTCTGGCAAGCGCTCACATTCCAGCATCTTCAAGTAATGTCCTTCCCAGTGGACAGTCTTTCTGCTCTTCTTCCTGAGCATGCCCCTGCCCTTCCTCCATCGACTCTAGCATGAATATCCCAGAGCAGGCCTTTGCCTGGATTTTCTAACAGCACCCTGTTGAGCATCTTAAGTGCTAGAGTCAAGTCACAGCCTGCACTGAAGTTCCAGTACTGTCAGGGATGTGGCAGGTGTCTGGAAGTCTCGGCTGTGTGGATGAACGCATACATGTGTGCGTGCACTGCGCGTGTGGCAGGTGTCTGGAAGTCTCGGCTGCATGGATGAACGCATGCATGTGTGCATGCACTGTGCGTGTGGCAGGTGTCTGGAAGTCTCTGCTGCGTGGATGAACGCATGCATGTGTACGTGCACTGCGCATGTGGCAGGTGTCTGGAAGTCTCGGCTGCGTGGATGAACGCATGCATGTGTGCGTGCACTGCGCGTGTGGCAGGTGTCTGGAAGTCTCTGCTGCGACGTGGATGAACGCATGCATGTGTGCGTGCCCTGCGCGTGTGGCAGGTGTCTGGAAGTCTCGGCTGCGTGGATGAACGCATGCATGTGTGCGTGCACTGCGCGTGTGGCAGGTGTCTGGAAGTCTCTGCTGCGTGGATGAACGCATGCATGTGTGCGTGCACTGCGCATGTGGTAGGTGTCTGGAAGTCTCGGCTGCGTGGATGAACGCATGCATGTGTGCGTGCACTGCACGTGTGACAGGTGTCTGGAAGTCTGCTGTGTGGATGAACGCATGCATGTGTGCGTGCACTGCGCGTGTGGCAGGTGTCTGGAAGTCTCTGCTGTGTGGATGAACGCATGCATGTGTGCGTGTCCTGCGCGTGTGGCAGGTGTCTGGAAGTCTCGGCTGCGTGGATGAACGCATGCATGTGTGCGTGCACTGCGCGTGTGGCAGGTGTCTGGAAGTCTCGGCTGCGTGGATGAACGCATGCATGTGTGCGTGCACTGCGCGTGTGGCAGGTGTCTGGAAGTCTCTGCTGTGTGGATGAACGCATGCATATGTGCGTGCACTGTGCGTGTGGCAGATGTCTGGAAGTCTCTGCTACGTGGATGAACGCATGCATGTGTGCGTGCCCTGCGCGTGTGGCAGGTGTCTGGAAGTCTCGGCTGCGTGGATGAACGCATGCATGTGTGCGCGCATGTACTGCGCTGCCATGACTGTGGTTGACCTTCAGGAGCCAGGTGACTTGGATCAAGATAAAGGAGAGGGAGGGAAGGAGAGGAGGGAGCTCTCTCTTTTTCTTTCTTATGCACCTTTTCCTCAAGCCCACAGAATTAAATCGCTTAGCAAGGAGGAGAATGAGAAACTGAAGTTACGCGTCCACATTCCCATTGCTATGAAGTTTTGTAATTAGTCTTCTAGGCAAAATGCAAGTTGCCTTTCAAGGCATTGGTCTCTTAAATGCTTTGAAAGGAGATCTTAGTAGGCTACACTTGTCCTTGTCATCATCATCATCATCATTATTTTGGGAAATCTAAGCCCGTTTAAGCCGGTTCGTTGTGCTAAGATGATAGCTCCCCTCTCTATTCTTCAGGCAGAACTTTCCTCTTGGAACATCAACCCTCTCCCTGCCTGGAAGTTTAGGATGTCAGAAAGAGCAGGAGCAGAGCACAGGGTCTTCAGTGCAAACGAGCCGACCAGAACCAAGAGCATAATCTGGCCACCGGCAAGGAGAAAGCGCGTGTGCATTCCTCTGTCCAGGCATCAGAACTGCAGAGTGAAGTGGCCAGTGGGTATATCCCCAAACTTCTGTCTGTCCTCCTCCCAGCTGAGCAGAAACAAACAATGCACCCCAACCCCGGACCCCTAGCCCCAAAGACTCCTGTGCAGTGGGCCCATTTTCTACCCAGTTATGAAGCATTGAGCATGTTTTCCCAGAAGTTCAGAGGCAAAACATGGTAACTGCATCCCCCAAGAAACCCGAGAAGGACTGATAGGTTCCAATTCTCTCAATGATGAAATAATTTCTCACCTAACAACGGTTTAATTGGAAGGCTTTTGTTCAGACAGCCCCTGGGGTAAGCTGAGATTTATGACCATGTTAACTAGCTCTCCCTCCTTGGGTCAAGTCTATTAAATACTATTTTTAAAATGCTAGATGCTACCTTGCCCTTCAGAGGAAGGAGACACGGGCTCTGCAACGCGAGATTGCATTTGTGGAGTGGCTCAGATCTTAGCTCTTAGGAATATGACAAAGGAGGGGAAGAAATGTGGAAGAGAGGAAAGCAATAATACTGACCAAGCCTTAGGACCACAAGACTCCCAGCTGGTGCCAGAGGACGGGCTATGTCAGAAAACACCTGGGAGAGTCCCTTGTGTGCTCCTTGCTGTCTAGGGGCATGAGCCTCGGATGGACCCTGCCTAACTTCTCCAAGGCTGCTTAACCTGAAAACAATCATAGATGCCTGTGCTTTTCCCAGAGCCAATCCCTTTTCTCTTGAGGGTACCTCCCGTCCATCCCAACCACAACATGAATGACAGCCTCCACAGCAGGCTCTACACCACAGGAAGAGGTGTTGACCTTGCTCAGGAAAATCCAACAAGGCATTTCCTCCACAAATGATGAACAAGGGACTCAAGACTGGAGAGTCAGAGTCCTTCCCCGGTGTGCCCAGGATGGGCACGAGACCAGCTCTCTTCTCTGTGGTGATGGAAGAATGCAAAGCCAGGATGGCTAGTAACTGGCCAGGTCCATGAGAGAGGGGGGGAGAGGGGAGAGAAAGGGAGGGGGTCAGAGAGAGACAGAGAGAGAGAGACAGAACGAAGGCACAGCCAGTCTCGACAGCTCCCTGGACCCAGTCATCTCTGAAACGACATCCACACCTGTGACTCGGTTTCATCACCATTAAATGCCTTGGGAATTAAATGCTAGTTATAGTAGAATAGGGAATAATACAACCACCTGCTTTAACAATTATTATATTGGAATGATGGGAATGGTTCTAAAATTAGATTATGGTGATGTTTTCTATCTCAGTAGATTTGCTAAAATAGATAGGAAGAAAATCTATTGGATTTTTATACAGACCTCAATCCTGCTGCCTCTACTTCCCAAGGAGCTTGGATTATAGTCATGTGTCACCACACCCAGCTCATAGTGTTAAAAAATAAAGATAGCTATCCTTACTATTGTTTGGTCTGCAGTCTTCTCATTCATTCACTCAGCACATTTCGTTGTGTAACCACTCTATTTCAGAAGACATCTGAGGTGGCAGCCCACAGAGTGGTGGGCGAAAAGGACAGGAATCCCCCTTGTGCACAGCTCCAGTCGCTGACACCCAACCCCAGCATGAAAACACTGAAGGGAGGCCGCAGGCCTAGAGCGTCTGGAATGGCACGCCATTCTGGGTGTCTGGAGGAAGTCTCATGCACCCCACCCACCCCATCTGCTCAGGACACAAGTCACCCCTCTGCCAAGAGCGTCTGCGCTGTATAAGGCACTCGGTCCACGAGTCACTCCACAGCCATCACAGTTGCAGTCTCCGTGGGGTCTCTGTGCTTGTGTGCAACTGATCTTACATAGTGGCCCGGGGTTGTGACACAATGCCTGTTTCATGGCTTGGAAAAGGGAACGCAGCGTGGATGGGGTTTAGTATTATCTAGAGTCGCAAGCAGTCCACTGGGAGTCTTGGAATTTCTCCTGTCAGATTACTGTCTTCTATTTTTTGTTTGTTTCTGTACGTTTTGTTGCTGCTGGGGCTTTTGTTTGTTTGTTTTTGGTTCTAGGAATCGAACCCAAAGCTCTGGAGAAGGTGAGGCGAGTCCAGTGCCACGAAGTTAAACCCTCCACCAGGTGGGTCCTACTCACGAGCCTTTCCTTAGCCTCATGACATAGAGCAGTCCACAGCCCTCTCAAATCCAAGATCAGCCTAGTGGGAGAGAATGCCCTCTTTGATGGCAACAACAATCCATCATCTTGCCCCTCTAGGGACATTGACCTCGGTCAAGTTGCTGGATCTGTTCTGTAAAATGAGGCACATAGAACAGTCTACCTCGCTGGCCAGCCCTTAGGAGAATTCCAGGCTGGTTACCTAGCTGTCCACAAAGCATCATCCCCACCCCTTTCCCCAGTGCAGACGATGCACTCCAGGCTTCGAGGTCACCATCTGTCGGTCCATCTGTCTGTCCGTCCATCCGTCCGTCAGGGGCCACTCACCCTCCTTCAATGATGAAGTATCGGAGCTTGTCATTGCTGTCCCTCGACGGGGTGGCATAGCATTTGTTGAGCGTAAGGATCAGGTGGGTGGAGTCTGCGCCCACCACGAAGACGCCCACATACAGCACGTCCCGCGTGGTGAGCACCACCTCCCCCTGGCGGTAAGGGTGCTTGTAGGAGGCGTTCTTGTAGAGCGCCATCTTGGTGGTGAAGCTGCCTTCTTGGGTTGGAACCGTCAGATTAATCACACTGCGAGAAAAAGGGTCATGAGACAGAGAACCCCCGAGAGTCTCATTTATTCCCTCACCTATCATATTTCAAACTGAGACAAAAAATAAAGCAGAAGGAAGAAAAGCACAGAGCACGGGTGAAAGTCTTGAGCGACACGGGCCTCTCTGTACACTGGGAAATGTAAATTCAAACAGAATAAAATCTCAATTCTCCAGCCCCCCTGAGTCACACTTGGAAGACTCAACGGCTGTCTGTGACTCCTAGCCACCGCATGTGGATGGTTTCAGATATGGAGCTGTTGCCAGCAGTGCAGAAATTTCTACTGAACAGTGACGCGCTGACGTGTTTGAGTTCCGGACAGAGGAACTGTGTTTTCCCTGGTGCTTTAAAGAAAAAAAGACTAGCAACCTGATGACAGTGCCCTTCGCTGTCAAAGAAGCAGGAACGCAGCATGCATTACCTCAGCATGGGCTTCACGACCGAATCCAAGGAGATCTTGATATCGAGCTCGTAGGCACATGAGAAGTCCACGCTGATGGTGCGGTCCCTGGTGATGATGTTGCCTGTGTTGTTGGCGCTTTCGATCCAGATGGTGTTTTTATACATGATATGAGTGCCATTGGACTGCGGAGAAAGGGAGGTCAGAAATCACTGCACCCGAAAGTGACTGTGTGGTTTGCATTTCCAATCCCCGTTCCGGAGCGTAGCGGAATGGCTTTGTTCCAGTATAACTCAGCATGGAGCTACACCGTTTACCAGGGGAGGGGGGCACCACCACAATAGATGTCCGTGGAGGACGTGTCCCTGAAGGCCCATGGAAGGGAAGTTTCATATACTACGCATTCCAACTACAGGCAGCCCACAGGCACTGGCGGGAATTCAAGCTCCTGAGAACACGAGCAATTCCCATGGTGAGGGGAGAGCCATTGCGCCAGAACTTTCGCAAGCCTTCATTCAAAAGAAAAATCTCTCCTCCAACCGCACTTTTTACCAGACATGGTGACAAGCACCAAACTGAACAGAGAAATGGGATGTTTCGCTAAACTCCACATTGGAAATTCTGCCACTAAAGGTTGGGATCTGCCATATCTTGGAAGCTAACCGTTACATGCTTGTGTGTGACACCCTTCACTATCCCCAGTAGCTGAGCCAGGCTATATTTACTTGGCAAGATGGCAGACCATAAGAGAAGTCAACAATGGTTTTTCAGGTCTGCCGAACAAGGGATGACAGCAGGCCTGGGAAATCAGGGAAAGTCACACATCACATACAATGCTCTTTTAGTTCAATCAACCGCTTAGCACTAAGTGACAGTCGCCCTTGCTGTTTTTCATCGTACGTGCCTTTTGCTGTTCTCCAGAGAGCCTATTCTAAGTGGAACGTCCCAGCGCTGGCTTTAAGGACAATCGATGGGCAGGTACCACATACTGCCACTAGCTCTGGCAGGCGCCTCTGCTCACCTGCACAATGTTTCCACAATTCCCTTTGGTGTTGTTGATCTGAAAGGAGATGAAGTCTTCCCCCTCGATTCCGGAGCACTGTCTGTCATTGACTCTCACGCCCTCCCTCTCAAAGCCCAGCTGGAAGAGCTTGCACTTGGATATGGACACTTCCATCTGGGCTGCCTTGCAGGTCACCTCTGCGTCGATGATGTCGTGGGAGTCTGTGGGAACCGCGGGGAGGAGAATCCTTTGAGAGATGCTGCGGGCACCGGGCAAGACCTCCTGCCTCCATCTCTCCGCTCAGAGGCTGCACGGCTTCTAATTATGCTTTGATCACCCCAAATGAGTGTGTGGATTCATTTAAGGCAGTAACTCGGGCCTTGGTAGAGCCTTATTAAAAAGATAAAATGCTAACAAAGCGCCTTTTGTCTGCTCTTGATAACCCCAGGCCTTCCTCCCCTGCATGCTGGTGACAGCTACTCCATTGTCAGAGTCTCACCGACTCTGGCTCACTGGGGCCTGGCTAGAAGCAAGGCCCGAAAGGAGCTCTGGTGGGCCCTGGTGAAGCCCGGCTCTGCAGGGCCCCAAGCAGGCCCCGGCTGAGCACCCAGGACGGGCTTTCAAGACAGTGGTGCACCAATTGACATTTTCTCTCGGCATATAAACACCCGCTAATAAGCACTGTCGAAACAGAAATATTTTCCTCCGCTTTGAAGCACTCTGTCCCCTTCTCGGGAGACTTCTAGTTAATTAGGCTTTCCTTCCGCAATGAAGCTAAACTTAGCGCACGCCTCGGAGTTACTTGGTTCAGAAAAGGGCAGGAAGTGGGAGGACGAGGTGGCTCCTTTGGAGGCAGCTGAGGACCAGCCGTTCCCCCACCCTAAGGGAACCACAGCAGGGAACAAGGCCCGAGGGCCCGGTGTTTCCTTCCTGATGGCCACACAGGTTTCAGTTGTGCCTTCCAGACGAGAAGTGTCTGGGCGGGGGCGGGGCGGGGGAAGCTGGCTTCTAGCCAGTTTTTTAAGGCACCTGGTACTTTGCTAATTCTTTCATGTTGGCATCAAAACCATTTTTACTTCCTTGTGAGTCTGAAAGACCAACTTGGATCTCTCTGATGTGCAACTTGGCCAATTCCACTCGCGGGCACGGCTTTGTGTGATGGGATGTACTGAAGAAGAGGAGGCGGCAGCCACAGGGCACGTTTGCTCCTGGAGTTTCCAATGGAGGGGTGGGTCCTCTCAAGCCCTTCTCCAGTCTCCCCCTCCCCCCGCCACCGGGGCCAGGACCCCCACCCCCGCCCCTCCCGGCCTCCCGGAGGGGGCGCTGGCCGTGGTCACTCACTGTTCCCGTAGGGGGGTGGCTCGATGCACCCGCAGAGCTCCCTGCCGTTCTCCAGCTCACACGTGCGGTTGGGACAATCCGCCCCCACACAGGGATCTTCAACCACTCCTGCTAAAAAGGAAAACACACGGAAACACACGCGTGATTTTCACACCCACACTCAGGGGTCTGGATCGGCCGCTTTAAGTCTCTGAATGGCAATGGTTCTGGTGGCAGCTGCAGGTCCACGGGCAAAGTGATCTTGCAGAAAACAAAATGGAAATTGCTAGGGACCCTGCACTTGCTACGGGCCTGGCACAGAGCTCGGGGTGCTAGCTGATTTGACCCTCATGAGTACACCTCAAGCTAAATATTACAACCCCTGCTTCACACACAAGGTCACCAGGGAAAGTAGATGGCAGAGGCAGGATAGTCAACTCTTAAGTGCCAGGAGGTACTATAGTGATCATACCCACTAGAGCACACAGTAACCACTTGCATTTATATTTACAGTTTAGCGAGTCAGATCCAAAACTCTCAGTTAATGATCAATATTTGTCAGCAATGAAATCTTGAGGGCATAACAAGATCCAAGAATGGATCACTCTGTCTTTGACTCTTTCTCCATAAATAGCTACTTGATTTCATAAAAACATACAAACCAAAAACTTACACCTAATTCACTGGCACTGACTTATATGAACAGTGCTGTTCTGACGGAAGAATTAAACAAACTGCAAGTGTATGTAAAGCACCACCATCCATGATGGACAGACACCACCACCACGGAAACCCAACGGCTTTACGCCAGAGTCACCAATTTTTTTTTTTGAGAGCTCCTTTTAAGAGACTGATTTCTTTGTTTAAACAGTCTCCTTCCCATCAAGATAGAAGGGTCCTTGCTCATCATCATGGTTGGTGCTAAAGAAACCACTGTTCAGCCCAGGGGTGGTGGTGCATGCCTGTAATTCCTTCCACTTGGGAGGCAGAGACAGGAAGATCATGGTTGAAGAGTGACCTGGATAGGTCTATCTGAATAATAAGGTCTTCAAGACTTTAACTAACCAGCAAAATACTGGGCTAGAGGTATGGCTCAAGTGGTAGAGCACTAGCCATGAACAAGAAAGTCAAGTGAGAGCAAAAGGCCCTGAGTCCAAGCCCTGTATCAGTGCACACACACACACACACACACACACACACATACATATGCACACACACACACACACACACAAACTCCAGACAATTTTCAAAGTTCAAAACAATTCATTAAACAAATTTCTTAGGAGCCATAGCAGAGTAGAAGAATAGTTATAACAATAAAACATTTCAGCTAATTTTCAACAGATTAGGAAGTTCCTTCCGTTTCTGAAATTACTAAATACCTACTTGCATGATGACATCCATGGTTTTCAGGCTCTGAACTGAGAATATTGTAAATGTGCCACTCTACATGTCTAGTTCTGGGGGGGTACTGTGCACACTCTGGCCCTTGTGAACCCTCTCGGGGCTGGTTTGTGTGTCTGGGCACAAACATACATTATGTTGGTGACCTCACACTGCACCAATGACAGTGCCACTGATACATATAAACACATACACATATGCTACACACTTATACATGTTTACATATATTTATCCTTGCTCCATGCAATTAATAGAAAGAATTGAATATTGGATGGGTTACACACATTGAAATGGTTTTTGGTTTTTATTTTTGTCAGTCGTGGGGCTTGAACTCTGAGTGCTGTCCCTCAGCTCTTCAGCTCAAGGCGAGCGCTCTACCACTTGAGCTACAGCACCACTTCCTGTTTTCTGGTGGTTTATTAGAGATAAGAGTTTCACGGACTTTTTTGCCTGGGCTGACTTTGAACCATGATCCTCAGATCTCAGCCTCCTGAGTAGCTAGGATTACAGGCGTGAGCCACTGGCGCCCAGCTGAAATGGTTTTCTTACTATAGGAAAAATAAACATGTTCAGATTTTAATCTTGCCATCTAGTTCAATCCATGGGATTAAATCTAACTGCCGCTTCCTTTCAAGCCAGGCAGATGGGGACAGCTCAACCCCACAGCTCCCCTTTGAGATTTGGGGCTCTGACCTGCATTACAGGAGCTAAGGGAGAGCTGGGTTTAGAACCACGAGCAATCAGAAGTACCAGACTGCATCCCTCTACAGCACGCATCCCCAAATGTAAATCCTCCTGCCCAAGGACCTCATTGTCCCCACTTTCTTGTTCAAATCCCATCTTTGCCTAAGAGCTGGCAGGAGGGAGCTAGTGTCCCCAGGGAATGCACCCCTATTGGACCTCTGCTGCACCCCACAGCTCTCCACTTTCTCCCGCCCCTGAAGGCAAATTGACGAATAAAGATGAAGAGGCCCATCATCCCTGGCTAGATGAAGCAATGCTACCTGCAAGGAACACACACACACACACACACACACACACACAATTCTCTTACAGCAATTCTCCTTCTCGATCCACTCGGTGCTGAGGATGCCGAAGGAGCGGCAGGCCTCCCCGTAGGCAGCCAGAGAGCCGCACAGCTGGAACTTCTTGAGGTTGTAGCAGCCGTCGAGGTAGCAGGACTCGTAGAAGGGGAGGGGATCGAGGAGCCCGTAGCAGGGCTGGAAGACGCCCTTCATGTCTGTGAGCTTCAGGCAGTAGCCCTCACCCTGCATGGCCTGGATGTGCACGTTGTCACACGTGGCCGCGTACTGCGAGAACTGCAGTTCGTTACAGCTGGGGGTGAGAGGCCTGGTCAGAATGCGTGAAGCAGACACAGCCACCCGAGTTCTGCCGGGCAAGGCAGCACAGCATCTGTTGTGCCTGGCTGGCTGGCTCGAAGCAGTTACCACTACTGGTTATACCAGTAGGACAGAGGGAAGGGAAAATACAGCAACAGACCCACAGCCAAAGAGCCCACCAAAGGCAGATAATTAACACCAATACCATCCATTGGTACCATTAATAACATCAACAGCTACCAATAGAATAACAATAGCAATAAGAGCAGTAATGATACTGGACAGGATTAAAGATCTGACAGGAAAATCAAGCGCTTTCTAAGCCAGTTTAGTGATCAAAGACCTGAAGCAAAACCTTCACGAGGAAATCTGCATCTAGTTGAAGATAGTTTGTAAAAGAAAATAAGTAAATATGGAAGAAGGAAAAAAACAAAGTAACATGGAATCAGAACTTCCCAGACCAGGAAGAACAGAGCTCGGCCTGTCATTGCACAGCCCTGAGCGGCTTGTGTATCCAAAGCTATCTTCTTTCTCTCTGGGCGGCCATGGAGTTGCACTGGAGGAAAGAGGAGGAGGCCTGAAATCTAATGCTGGCCCACCATCTGCGCAGCCTCCTCATGTAAATAAGCGATTGTGTTTTAGATGGCTTTTCCCAAGGAAAGGAACAGGCTGGACTCCATGCTGTCCGCAGTCCTGCTCTGGGCCCTATAATTCACAGGATGATCTAACATAGGAGATATTATTCAGTTCATGCCTGGGGCATGGTCAGGAAGGGCTTGGGGCTTCATTTCTATAACTGGGTGTTTTAGCTGGAGTCTAGCATGGAGAGTAGGAAGAGATCAAGTCATTTTTACAAAGACATCCTAGGGAAGAGACGCTACCCATAGACCCAAGGCAACAACATAATTGGGCACCCCAGAGGGAATCTACATTAAGAACTCGGGGAATAACTTGTTTATTAGCCCATTTTATCTCGGCTGGTCAGTCTGGATGGAATAATGTAACCCCCATGGTTTCTGTTTTCAAAAAGGCTGCCTGATGCCCACCGGGCTTTGGCCTGCAGACCACCACAGTCAAGGCTTGTGGACAGAGTCAGGGTATTCAATCAGGCTCAGAGCTAGAGAGCAAAGGGCGGCCTTTCTTCTTCTCTGTCTACTCTTCATTCCACCCCTAACCGTGGAGCCTAGGTCCCCCGTGGGTACCGGGTCACAGCCTCAGATCCTCACTCCTGCATGACACGTGGTTCTGATGAGCCGGGAGCTGAAGGAGAGGCTCATTCAGAGTCCTGTCACCCGAGCTCAGCAATTCACAGCCTCTGATGCACCCTGCAGGCAGCATCAAAACTGTGTGGGCCTTTGGCTTAACTCTGCAGGGGAGGAGGGGAGGTCCAGGGGAGTCCGCCCCTCGCAAACACCTGCTGAGGGTGTGGGAAGAGCGGAGGTGGAAGCCGCTCAGATGCCCTCACCTTTTCTGCATGCCGTTGGTCTTCCAGCTCTGGGCCAGCACGACGCTGCTCACCACCGGCTTGCCCCGCAAGGTGACGTAGTCGTCGGTCAGGTCGCCATTGAAGTTGCCACACAGGCCGCACACTTTGTTCTGCAGCCTCTCGCTGATGCTGATTTTAATGACATTGTAGCCGTTGTAGTGGATCCGGATGTCAGGGCTGGTGTCGATCACCAGAAAGCCCTCGCTGCTGTAGATTTTGGTGGCCAAGCCCGTGACAAACGGGACATTCACCTGAGTGCCGTTCACCTGTTGGAGTGGGCAGAAAAGAGTCACCAGCCTGACAGCTGCTGGCAGAGGCAATCTGCGAGCCCCCCCCCCCCCCGTGGTCTCTGTGGCCACCACTGGACCCTGTGGCCTGGCAGCAGCCCCAGGCAGTATGTAACAACATGAGTGAGGCTGTGTTTTAATAAAACTTTATTTACAGAGTCAAGCTGTGCCAATGGGGCACACAGCTCATGAACTCCTGTCCAAGAGTTGGGGAACACTCACTTATCTTACAGTTCTCCCAAGGGAAGTCAACTATGGAGCACAAGGGGGTAGTGAGGGAGGAGGGAAGGCAGTATTAGAAAGGCAGTACCCTCGGTGAATGGAAGGAATTTTGTCCACAACTTTCCCCAGCAGAAACCAATTACTGAAAGTGACATGCTAATCCTGTACAAAGTGGAGTCCAACGTCATTAAAACAAATGTGGGGGTGTTTGCCATGTTTGTTGTTTTCCTGTTTGTAATCTTCCGGCCTGAAGTCCCCCAGGGGTCCTCTAGGCTCAGCCGGTTCAGCATTTGTCATTTTCTTGCTTTATAATGTTTCTTTCCTTGGCCGTTGGGACAGAATATACCATACTTTTCCTGTATTTACAAAATAAATTGCTTTTTCCCCCACAGGTTATTAGTAACTTTAGTTTCATAAAAAAAAAGATTTTAAAAGATTGTCCATCCTATTTTTTGGCAAGCCTGGGTATTTACTCATGACAAAGCCGCGTTGCTCTCTCAGGTGAGCGCCTGTGATGTCTTCCTCTTGTATTCTGAGCCAGTGCAGCCTCCACGTGGGCCCATTTCCGAAAGGAATTGGAATGTCAAAACCAGTAGCGGCTTTTATTAAAGTTCAAAACCGGCATTAAAATCCAGATGATTCTAAGCTTGCAAAATCCAGCCAGTCTTTTGCCTAACGCTGGATACTAAACTATTTGATGACTCTTCCAATAAAAGGTCACTCAGTGCTGGAATATCCTGGCCAGTGTGGAAAGCAGATTCACAACCTTCCATTCCAAAATAACGATACTGTGTCTCTCTCCCTGCCCCTCCCTGCCTGGGCTCTAGAGATGGAGCTTGGCTCTGTCTTCAGGTTTACCTGCCGAGACCATGGTACAGCTCAGAGTCTAGGGGTCACTGTCAATAGAGCAGATTATCTTCCTTTTTTGTTTTTTTGGGTCCGGTCGTGGGGCCTGAACTCTGGGCCTGGGCGCTGTCCCTCAGCTCTTCAGCTCAAGGTTAGCACTCAACCACTTGAGCCACAGCGCCACTTCTGGCTTTTTTCTTATGTGGTGCTGAGGAATCGAACCCAGGGCCTCGAGCATGCAAGGCAAGTGCTCTACCACTGAGCCACCTTCCCAGCCCCCAGATTATCTTCTTAGGCAGAAGGAATGGATCCCTCCAGACAATGGTTATAAGGGGTCAGGGAGGGCTTCATGTTTATTTACAAACAGATCTAAGATTTGCCAAATAACCCCCCCCCCCAAAAAAAAACAACAAAAGCAGACAAGTGACCTAGGGAAGTGCCAATCAAAGAGAAATTCACCACTTTCCTCCCCTTGGTATGCCATCCTGGGTCCTCTGATCTCTTGTAGAGGAGGCTTGGGTGGGTGGGTGGTTGTTCCAGTCACTGTTTTCATAGGCAAATGTCTTAGTGGGGGAAAGGGCAAGAAGACAGACAGTTGGACAGGGCTAAGGATATAGCACTGTTAAAAACAGAGCAAATGTGTTGTGACAATCAATCCAGAGGGCACATGGCTGCCATTTTGTTCCCTGAAACTCTGATAGCTATCAATGCCTTTTATTCTTCTTTCTTTCTTTCTTTCTTTCTTTCTTTCTTTCTTTCTTTCTTTCTTTCTTTCTTTATTGTACTGGGGTTTGAACTCAGAGCCTCACGCTCTCAGTTGGCTTTTTTGCTCAAGGGTGATGGTGATCTACCACTTGAACCACTCTGTGGTTTTTTGGGGCTGGGGTTAATATCGAGTCTTGAATCAGGAGTCTGGCCAGGGCTGCTTTGAACTACGATGCTCAGGCCTCAGCCTGCTTATTAGCTAGGATTACAGCGTGAGCCTGTCCTGGCACTAGGCTCAGTTGTAGGTTCACAGAAACGTTGCACAGCTAGTCTTTAAAATCGGCTCACCCGAGCGTGGTTAGCGGGTGCCAGGGCACTTTGACCCAACAACTAACCTGCTTAGCTGGGCACCACACACGCTCAGCCCATGTTGGCCCTGGGGTCCGTCTCCCCCAGGCCAGGCCAGGCCAGGCACATTACAGCCAAGGCCCTGGCATCCCCGGCCCATCAGCCCGTCCTGCCCAAGCCAGGCCAGGCCAGGCCAGACCAGGCGTGTTACCTTGACGGTATTGCGGTCGCTGATGAGGATCTGCTCCTCGTTGATGTAGAAGTAGACCGGGGAGATGACGGTGAGGTTCGGGGAGGACCACTTGTCGAAGTTGATGATGAGCTGGAAGGAGACGTCGGGTAGCTTCTGGCAGATGGTGGAGAGCACGAAGGCGCAGTTGGCAGGGAAGCGGAGGAAGGCGCCGTCGAAGGTGCGGAAGACACCACCGCCGGCCGCCAGGCAGAAGGAGGACCTGGTGCTGAAGCAGCCGCGGGCACCATGGCGCAGCGCACACTCCTCCCCGGACTTGCACTGGCGCGGGTCGCACTGGATGAGGTTGCGCCGGAAGCAGCGGCAGCGCCGCGTGCAGTCACTGTTCCAGAACAGCTGCTTGGGCTGCAAGAGGGGCCACGGCATCACACGCAGGCTGGGGTCCAGGCCCGGGGACCCCCCCCCCACGTACCCCAGTCACACTGTTCCAGAACAGCTGCTTGGGCTGGAAGAGGGGCCGTGGGCATCACATGCAGGCTGGGGTCCAGGCCAGGGACACCTCCCCCAAGACCCAGTCCATCTGGAGCCTCCCAGACACCAGGCCGGCCTCGCCTAGCCTAAACTGGGGCTGGATTTGGCCCCAGGGAGTGTGCCTGGTTCCCAGCCAACTCAGAAGCCAGATCACACGCAGTGGGGGTGATCGGTCCCCATCGGGGACTCTGGGATCTCTGGGTCATAGAACTACTCATAGCCCACCTGAATACGCAAGCTGTTGGAGGAACGCAGTGAAGGAGGGAAAGAAGAGTGCAGATGCACAAACTAGCAGCCAGGAGCCACACTTCTGACAGACACGGGCTCGGCTTCAAGGACGGAATTGAAGTCAGGATGGAAAAAACCAGCCCTTGGAATCTCAGGTTAGTCAAAAGACACTGATCACCAACTCTTCCTTCAGATGGGTCATTTAACCTTTCCCCTCGCCCATCCTTCCAAAAGGCTGCTGTGTCTAGCCTCCTCCTGATTGGGTCTCTGTTGCATGTCCCTCCTTTCTCGGACATCCTGGCTTGCATGGAAGGCCAGCGCTGGGACCATCCACCCGAGTGTCAGCCTAGCCCTAGCACCCGAGGTGTGCGATGTCCTGGGGGATGTTCCTAATCTCCCAGTGTGTGTCAGTCTGTTGTGTCCAAGCAACTGTTTTTGTATTCTTGTGGTGCTAGGGATGGAACCCAGGGCCTTGCACATGGCAGATAAACACTCTACCACTGAACAAATCCCCAGTCCAGTTTGTTTATCTCTAAATTAAAGAGCATGTCTGACCTGACAGTGTGAAGGTCAGATTTAAAAAGGCATGGAGCCAGGCTCCAGCGGCTCATGTTTGTAATCCTAGCTACTCAGGAGGCTGAGATCTGAAGATCTCAGCGGTTCAAAGCCAGCCTGCGCAGGAAACTCCATGAGATTCTTATATCCAATAAACCACTAGAAAACAGGAAGTGGTGCTGTGGCTCAAGCAGTAGAGCTCTTACGTTGAGCTGAAAAGCACAGGGACAGTGCCCAGGCTCAGAGTTCAAGCCCCATGACCGAAAAAAAAAAACCCAAAGAACAATAAAAAGGCATGGAGGTGTGTTTCCAATGCTCAGTAATCATAGCTACTATAGAAGAACCGTTTATCTTCCTCAGAAAGTCTGAGAATTATATAAAACCATTACAATGCTTACAATGAAGAGTCTCTACTATCCTTCTCTCTTGTTCAAACAGACAACAATCTGTAGACACACTTGAATTTTGTATTCTTGGTTTTGCACTTTCTCTAGGCTAAGAATCCCAGAAACTTTTGGAAAAATGATCGTGGCTGCCCAAGTCAGATGTGGCCCCAATAAATAGATGTGTGGGCATTCCAGATTGAGCATCCCTCATCTGAAATGCTACAGACCAGAAGTGTTGCAGATTTTGGATTATTTGCATATGTATAATGAGATACCTTGGGGATGGGACCCAAGTCTAAGTACAAAATGCATCTGTTTCATACACGACTTCTACACACAGCCCAAAGGTAATTTAATACAGTCCCTTTTTAAAATTGTGTATGAAACAAAGTTTCATGGTGTAAGTGGGTTTTACTTGTGGCATCAAATCAGCTCTCAAAAAGTTACTCATTTTGTGGCCTTGAGGATTTCAGATCTTCGGTTTTGATGCACGTAACCTGTATCAATTTACCAAGGGTACAATCTGGAAAAGATATCTATCTCAGCAGCACAAAAAGACCTACGATATTTTCTGGTCACCATTGGCTGCTTCAAGGATAGGCTTATCAACAACAGCTGTGACTAAGATCCAAGGGCAAATTGCTAAAGGACGAGATCTTCCAGTACCTGTACTTCAAGATGCCATTGTTGATTCTTTCATCCTCCGAGTGAAGTCATTCCTGGAACCAAGTCCTCTCTCCCTCCAGATCTATAACATATTCTGGGTGCCAGCCGCCTCACAAATTGACTTCATTTTTTCTTATCAGATTTACAGAATAATTGAGTGGTTGGTCTGGCCTCTTTCCGATAAGAAATTCAGACATTGTATCGGTGGAAAGAGAAAAACAACCCTGTGTGTGTGGATATGATCAAGGATAAATAATTCATCCACAGGGGAACTTGGTCACGAAACTAGCATCCAAGGAAAGTGCCTTGGCGCCATGCCACTTTCTTTACCTTAATCAGACATGACAAAGACAGCTGGTGCTTACCATACATGCTAATGGCTAGATGTGTTCTCTCTTTATTTCCAAAGACATTTACTATATCAACAAGCCGCCCCCCAACCCCCTCCAGCTTGTTTGAATTGTGGCTCTGCCTTTTCCCAAATATAAGCTGTTGTCAAAACCCACTGACACTGATGAAAAACAGAGAGTAATGTTTATAGAACTAATAGCTAGCAGAGCTGGGCTGTGCCTTCCTTGGGAGCTCCAAGGGTTTTTATAGGCATCATCTCATTAACGTGCCTGGGTTGGTTTTTTTTAATTTACAAAATGTTTCTCAAGAGAACAGCAGTAGCAATAACAGTATCAGCTACCAATTATTGAATGACTAGCTGACAGGTTCGAGGCTGGGCACCTGGCCTGGTCATACAGCAACTCTACCCAGTCAGTACTTTTAGCCATCTTTCATTCGAAGGGAGACAGACTCTGAGGGAAATGACGTGGATGGCTCAACACCACGTCCCAGCGGTGACACAGTTGGGGTGAGACCCAGGCTTATCCCTCATGCTACACGGACACCCAGGACCCCCGCCAAGGGGGACAGGGGCGCGAGGGGTACGTGAAACAGAGAGATTTTGGTCAGTCTCCAGGCTGGGAGAAGGATTTAGAAAAACGTTTTCTAAGTTTGGAACCTATTTGTATCTTCTCCCAGACGAGAAAACTAAACTTACTTTCTCTCATGTTCTACCTCTTCCTTTTAAATAATCTCGGGGGGGTATATATCGGGTATGGGGAAGGGACAGTAATGGGGTTTGTACTGGGGTTTGATTTGACCTCAGGACTTCACGCTTACTAAGCAGGTGCTCTACCACTTGAGCTACTTCAGACCCATTTTATGCTTTAGTTATTTTTCAGACAGGGTCTTGAGTTTTTGCCTGGGGCTGTCCTTGGATCCTCCTCCTGGCCACCCCACCTGAACACCACACATACACACCACACACACAGCTTGTTCATTAGAGCACAAGTGTTTTGCCTAGGACTGGCCTTGGGCTGTGCTTCTCCGACCTTTACATCCTGAGTAGCTGGGATTACAGTTATATGCCACCATGCCCCGCCTCAGTGATATTTCTAAAAGCAAACTTAAGTATCACCTCTCCTGAGAAGTGCACTTTTATTAGCTCTATTCTACTTTCTCCCTGTCTTTCTGACCTAACCATTAAATGCATTTTCCAGGGAAAATAAAACGGAAGGTGGTGCCCACATTCCCACTCTTATGTATTCCCAATGTAAAGGCAAGTTATCTGTCATGAACAAGTCAATGCATCATTACATTATATATTATTTTCCTTGCCTAGTTGATTTCAAATTCAGGCATATCAATTGATTCCTTTTAACTGCTGCCATTCTCTTCCATTTAAAATTGATTTTCCCTGTGTTCTTTTTTCACTTTTTGATATATTAATTTCTAACTGCTCCCTTGTTCTTTCCTGAATAGATGTTTCAAGTTCCTTAAGCAGGAAACATGTTTTGTCTCCCCCCCACAATGCCACCTATACAGTGGTTGCAGAGTGTGGGATTCACTGTCTGCATACCCACATGAGGATCTGAGACCCAGCCACAGGTTGAAGACTTTCCCTGGACAACAAGACCTTTTCTATCTTAGGATTCTAGCATCTCAAAAAAGACTAAGGTTAGGTGCTGGTGGCTCACACCTGTAATCCTAGCTACTCAGGAGGCCGAGGTCTGAGAATCACGACTCAAACAGCCAGGCAAGAAAGCCCATGAGACTCTTATCTCCAATCAACCAACAAAAAGCCAGAAGCAGAGCTGGGGCTCAAGTGGTAGAACACCAGCCTTGAGTGAAAAAGCTAAGGCTCTGAGTTCAGTCTCAGTACTAACATAAAAAAATGACTACAGAATTGGTATATAGTCTAGAAGGCCCTGATTCCATCTCCAGTCACAGGCTCCTCTGCCTCCCCCCAAAGACTTCAAAGTCCAAAAGATGAAACGATTTAGTAAGCTAACACGTGTTATTGGGAAGTATCCATCAGGGACTTCATCATCAGCTTTCGGTGTAAAGCCCCACAGAAAAGGAGCAGCACAGGGTAGGGTGTCAGCCAGCATGGGAAGCCCAGACAGAGCTCTCTGGGGACCATGTAGAAGGACAGAGGGGTGGGAGGCAGGGAGCTGGGGGGGGCAGGAGAGTGATGGGATGGGGGTGTGGATGCGGGGGGGCAAGCATCTAGGGAAGGCCACCCATTCCATCCTTAAGCTCCATGTTTTCCATTAAAAGCATCCTTAGCTAAGACAGCTACAAATGTCAGATTCACAGCCACTGTACTTCCAGTGCAGAGCCATGTCAGAAACTCCCAAACTCAGATTTATAGGAGAGAAAATTCACAGGGTCTGGGGGCCTCCAGGGAAAGGCATCCCGGGGGCAGAGATGCCCTTTCAGTGCTGAGGAGGGAGGAGGAAGGAGGGGGAAGAGGGAGGAAGGAAGAGGAAGAAGGAGGAGGAGGGAGGCCAAGATGCTCTTCCAAGTTGCACAGCCTTTGCACTGGCCTACCTTCCCCGCTCAGTTCACTGTGGTTAATTCCGACCACCTTCGTGTGTGTGCATGTGCGTGCATGCTGTCACTTAGCATTTTTGCTCCACAGACTGGTGCTCTACCACTTTAGCCACAGTTCCACGTTCGGCTTTTTGCTACTTAATTGGAAGTAAGAGTCTTAGGGGCTTTCCTACCCAAGCTGGCTTTGGACTGCGATCCTCAGCTCTCAGCCTCCTGAGTAGCTGGGATGACAGGCGTGTGATCTGCGGGTGCCGGGCCTGGCCGCGCCCTGGGGGCTGGAGGAAGAGGTGATGGGTGGGGTGGCGCACCTCGTAGTACTTGCCGTCGGCGTAGCAGCCGCAGCTGTGGGGCAGGATGCAGCTCTTGCCGTTGAGGACGTACCCGGCATCGCACTGACAGCCCTCCACGCAGTAGTGGTTGCAGTCGCTCTTCAGACGGATGGCGGCGCAGCGGGGCTGGCAGACGCTCACGCAGCTCTCGTAGTGGCTGTTGGGCGGGCAGGTGACCGCTGCAACAGAAAGGGCCAGTCAGGATGTGCACGGTCCGCGTGGGCTGCGGAAGGAGGTCTGTAGCCGTTGCCCAGGGAGACGGAGGGGGTGGGTGAGTGAGGAGGTGTGAGGCTGGTGTGGCTCCTCATTACCACCCTCTGGGCTCTGGGAGGCCTCTGTGTGACTCAGTCCTGTGAATGACAGGCGGGCAGGCGGGCGGGCAGAGGGAGGGTGCCCTCTGGCCTCTCCTCTCTGCCTCCATTTGCAAGATCTTTGCTTCTTTGCCACCTTAAACACCTCGGCTCAGAAAGCAAAGTCCACCACGCCTGCCTCGAGGCCCACACTCCTGCTCGTCCCGCTCATCCATCTCCTTCCTCGTCCTTACAGCCCATCCAGACGCCAAGCCCATGCGCAGTCTCACCCACGCAGCGCCCACTTCTACGCCAGCGCCAGCTTAGGCTGGCTGCTTATCAGCAGGAAGCCTCCGAGCCCTGGGATCTGAGGAGAGAGGTGTGTGCTGTGAGTGTGTGTGTGTGTGTGTGTGTGTGACTGACTCCTATCAGTCACATTCTATCGTTCTTCAATGCATCTAGACGCCTTGAAGAAGGCAGGCAGGGGCCCAGGGAAGGCAACAGGCTCTTACAAGTCACCCTGATGACCCAGATGAGCTCCTTAGGCCTCCTGAGCCTCAGCTTCCTCCACTAAAACATGCCCATGGCACCTGCCTATGGCTGAGCATAGGGGACTTAGTGAATGTGTGCTCAGCCCAGTGGTGGGCATGTAGGTTCTCGTAGGTATTAGATATCAATAAAGGTGGGGTTGCTTAAAAGTCTCATAGAAGTTATTATCTTAACCAATGTACACGAACAACAGAACTACATTTAGGTGAAGAAAGAATAATTTTCAGGTTTTGGGGGGAGTGTCTCTTCTACCTAGGAGTAAAGGTATTTGTGGAGTGCACAGGTCTATGACGTACAGAGTGGGGGGAAGAGAAAGAGAGAGAGAGAGAGAGATGGAGAGGGTGAGGACAGAACCCAGGACCTTGCACGTGATAAAGTGCCCTACCATTGAGCTACCTCCCTAGCCCTTGTATTTTTTGAGGCAGTGTCTTGTCATGTAGCCTAGGCTATGGAGATCAATGGCTATGAGTTCACAATTTCCTGCTTCTATTTGCTGGGATTTAGACATATGCCACCATACCCAACTTATACTGGAGATGTGTGTGTGTGTGTGTGTGTATGTGTCTCAAAAACACTCTTAGTTCAAACATAATTCCTGCTTGTGTTAGAAAAACGCAAACCATGTAAGTACAATGAAAAGGCAACCTCTGAAAACAAATTACCACCAATCCTTCCAGAAATTTCTATGCATAGACAAGTGGGTGGCTGTGTATACCTTATACCTACTTTATTGTTACATAAATGGGAACACACACTACAAGCAACTGTGCTTGTTGCTTTTCCATGACAATATTTCTTCCATTTACTCCTGAATTATAGTTTTTGCACTGCTGCATGGTGTATTTTATGTTCACAATGATGTGGTGATGAGTATCACTGAACATATGGTTTTGCCATATATCTATGTGTGTGTGTATATATATATATATATATATATATATATATATGTATGTATGTATTTGAGTCTGCAGAATATGACTTAGAATGTCTAAGTAGTCTAAAGCAAAGAGTCTGCTCCAATTGCCCTGTTCCCAGGGGAGCTAGGATTGAATCCTTGTTGACTGTTTACCACCAAGTTCCCAATTCTTGGAAATCTGAAAGGTAAACATTGTCCTACCTACTTTCCTTACATCTAGTTGACCTTTCTTTGGGAGGAGGGCGACTTTTTCATTTGTAAACCATTTGTGTGTCTTCACCTGTGGACTGCCTTTTTGCATGCACACAGAGTGGTATTGAGTTTTCTTCTTCTTAAGTTGTAAATATTCTTTGTAAATTAAAAATAGACTTCTATGTGTCACGGGTGTGGTGAAACATTTATCGTGTTTCTCTGACTTTGCTTCTCTTCTAAACAATTTTGCACTTGTTTGGTTTCTGATTGTTTTACCACATAGAGGCAATGTGATTTGAATGCAGCCTGGTTTTCCTTTCCATCTTTGGTGTCTGCTTAGAAGGCCCTCTCCACCTCTATGTTGCTATAAGACTGCTGAAAGACGGTGGCAATAATACTCTCTTAGTCTCTTCTAGGGTTCTGTTCTGTTCTGTTCTGTTCTAAGACAGGGTTTCACTAGGTAGCTCAGGCTTGCCTCAAACTAATGATCAACATACATCAGCCTCCCGAGAGCCAGGGTTACAGGCATACACTATCACATCTGATTCCTTCTAGTCCTTTGATAATTTGTTTTTCCCAGTCATGGGGCTTGAATTCAGGGCCTGGGTGTTGACCATGAGCAATTTTGCTCAAAGCTAATGCTCTACCACTTTAAGCCTCAGTGCCACTTCCAGCTTTTGAGTAGTTTATTGGAGATAAGAGTCTCATTAGGACTTTCCTGCCTGGGCTGGCTTCGAACCTTGATCCTTAGATCTCAGTCTCCTTAAGTAGCTCGCATTACAGGCGTGAGCCACCATCACCCAGCCTAATTCATTTTTTAATGTTTAATTTTGTTGTGTCTGGACTTATTTTGCAGTGAGGAACAAAGGGGAGATTTAACTTCTTTTTGTCAACCATCCCTTAACTGTTTATATATATATATCCCATGATTTGAAATGCCAAATAGACGTTACCATAGACTTTACCATAGACTCATTTCTCTTTAGTTTTCAAGCTACTTCTGGAGGTTCAGGGCACTTCAGCAGTTGGTCTACTCAGTCATGTACCAATATTAGCTACATTTATTTTTATGTTGTTCATTTGTTGTATTTAATGTGTGTGTATTAACAGTGACTGAAGCTCTGTTATCTACTTGACTATATGGGAAGGTGAAGATATTCATTGCTCTTTCAAGTATTTCCACTGGACCTCATACCTTCAATGAGACCCAGAATTCCCTACCTTACTCTCCAGATTCTTCCATGGAGCCGACCTGCCACAGACTGAAATCTTTGAAAGCCTGAGCTAAAATAAATCCTTTAAGTTGCTTTAGTCACAGGGACACTGCAGTAAGGAAGACATCACGTGTGAGATGCGAGGTGAGGAGGGCTGGGGAGGGGGCACTGGCCAGGGCAGGCGCCAGCTCTCCAGCCTTCCTGGGAACACCCATTTGTTTCTTAGTGTTTTCTCCCTGAGAATGGAAGTCCCTGCTATTGTCCCTGCTCTATGAGCGCAGCATGGAGTAAATGAGGGAGCCCACACATCCTCCCCAGACCAGGGCCTGGTGCTCAGCAAGATTTTTACCATTGATGTCCCTCATTAAAGGACTGGAAGATGTTCAGATTCAGCTGGATGAATTTCAAGGCAGGGTTAGTAATTGAGAGAATTTACCTCCCCTCTCTCTCCAAGCCTATTTGTTCAACTCGGATGAAGAGGTTTTCCAACGCATTTGCAAATAATGTAATTGAGTAATAAATTATCCCATTGATAGGAACCGCCAATATCACTGAGAAACATTGGCATTCCACTCTGTTACCTATAAAGCACAAATGGAACAGGCAATCTTACCTAAGGACCATTCCTCCTGTCTCAACCTGGGAGTGTTGGATTCGATTGATTTCAACAGAGCAATGGAATCCAGTCCTGTCTCTCCTTCCTTAGGTCAGTCACTCCACAATACAGCTCCCAAGGACTGCGCTCAGACCAGCCTTTCAGTCTCTAACTTGTGCCTGGCCCCTTCTCGCTCCACGTACCACGCTCAAAATACAGACTAGTTCTCCCCTTTCAGCTTTTCTTTCGGTTATGTACAACTACCCCAGGTGCTCTAGCTTTTGGATCTCAGCCCCTGCTTTTTGTTTTTAAATGATAAAGCAGGAGCAACATCTTAAGTAGGCTGTGATAGGAACAGTTTTCTGGCTTTCTGTTTCCTGCTGGCCCTGGCTAGCCCTGGCATGCTGGGGGCAGCTGGTCTGTGGCAGGGATGGGATCCAAAGCTCAGACAGAAGCAGGGTGAGCCCAGGGCTGAGTGCTGCCAATGCAGCTGCCCAGTCAGGTACAAAAGGAGCAACCAGGACTGGAGGAGGAGTGAGGAGAGGGTATGGACAGAGGGGACATCGGTTGGACAAGAAAAGTCATCTTCACCGCCTTCATCCCCTTATAGGGGAGAGCGGGCCTTCTTCCTGGGAGGAAGGGGCCGAGGCTTGCTAACTGGGTTCTTTATCCTTAGCATGACTGGCATACATAGAGGCCCCTCGACTGAAATGAGAAGTCTTGCCATCTGCCCCTTCAGTGAATTTCCTCTAAGTTGTGGTTAGACATGATAGGTTTCTGGCACCACGCTGTACCCTGCACCTTGCCTACGCCACCTCCACTACGCCAGCCATCTAAGAGCAGGGGGGAGAGAGGGAGAGGGTGGGAGGAGAGAGAGGGAGAGGAAGAGAGAGGGCGCACAGCCAGCATGCATGGCACGCACAGGGAGCTATTCTCTGTAGCAGGTCTCAAGAAACACAGGCCAAGACTCTTTTCCAAACTTGTTTCCAGATCCTGTGCCCGTATGGCCACTGGGCCTCGGGTCTGGCTTGCTGATTTAGAGGACGGAATGTTGGTTAGTCCGTTGTGCTGACCTCCGTTGCTCTAAAGTTTTACCCCAATGTAGACATACTAGGGCTATTAGTTTTATGGAAGATACTAGAGGCGGTCACTCCCTCCTGGCAGTAAGTCCTTCACTGCTTCACTTGGAGACTGAGCCGGGTGGGACTGAGCCTGTGTGAAACAGAGGTGCTCTCTCTCCACTCACTTTCCCCTTGACCCACCATCCAGCTTCCCTGCATCCGGTGACTGTATATGGAAAGAAAGCTATTGTGTACACATTAAGACACAACACTGCTTCTGGTTTTGCATCTAAATCTCCCTTTTCCAAGATGAACATGGGACTGTGTTCCCTGTTGAATCCCTTGTTTACAGCTCTAGGCTTTCGACATCTATTTGTAGCCTGTCTGTCTGTAGAGTCAGACCTTCTAAAAGAAACTTGCCGTGCTTAATGAGACTGAGATGGAAGAACAGACAGCCGCATTCCATCCGCGGCTTCTCCTCCCAGCCTCTCCCTTTCCTTGCATGTGGGCAAATCCTCCAGCCCACTGTGTGGTACAGGGGCTCTGGGATTGCAAAGTCAGATCCCAGACTTTGCTTCCCACCTTGTCTCACCCCTGTCTCCCCAGAGTCTCCACTCCCCTTTGCCTAATTGGGTTATTGAGAAGAATTAATGAGCTAATGTTGATAAAGCATTCAGCAGGAGGGTTGGCGCAGAGCAAGTCATTCATACGATGCCAGTTAGCAGGCATTGTGTGTGCTGTGGGATTCCAGTGGCCCGATTTGGGCTTCCCAACCTTCGTGCAGTCTAAATGATGCAGGCAGCATAATGACTGCTCCTCAGCGGGGGAAAGTGAGCACCAGGGAGGACAAAGTAGATTGGTCCAAGGTCACACAGATCCTTAAAGACAAAGTCAAGGCTAGAATCCCGGAGCTCTGATCCCTTTCCTATGCTCTTAATACTCAAGGCTGACACATGGCATTTATGAATCCACTTAGAAAAAGTGGGTACATTACCAATGTGTGGAGGGACCTAGAGGTTCTAGAATAAATGAACACATGAAGGAACCGTCTAGTTCTTCCTCCATGATTCTGTGGCAAACGAGTTATGGCATGCTTACCATCTCATCTCCTCCTCCAACGTAACCAGGGGAGGAATGGTATCCCCATTTTGCAGATAAGGAAAGCAGAAGTTTGGGGAGGTGAGCCATGTTTCAGATTACAAACTCCATTCCTAACGGTACATTCCTAAATCACGCTCTCAGTTCGCTCTGACTCATGAGTTGGAAGGGCAGCCCCCACCCCAATCCAGAACGAGCAGAAAGAAGCTGTGGGGAGAGGTGAGCAGAGGGACTCACAGCACGAGGTGTAATTCCTCCAGCCGGTCACGGCGATGCCCTGAGTCTGGCAGGTGCTGGCATAGTTCTGGAGCCAGCCACAGGCCGTCTGAACAGCGCCCCCATCGATGCACGAGTCGAACAGGCAGTTCTTGTAGAAGAAGGTGGGGTTGACCTTGCTGTGGCACTTGGCAAAGCCAGCGCTCTGGCTGGGGATCAGGCTGCATAGCTGCTGCACCTTGGAGAAACCCTCGACTTTGGCACAGGATGGGCAGCGGTCGCCACAGCCTACCTGGCAGAAGGTGTCCCTCTTCACCCAGCTCTGCCCAAACTCATGGATGCTCAGTGCGGGCAGACCCATGGGCATCTCCAGGTCGTCATCGGGGTTTCCGTTGTAGCGGCCACACAGGCCGTAGGTGCCGTTCTGCATACTCCGGGGGATGGTGATGGACAGGAACGTCTTCCAATCATACACGACCTTCAGGCCAAAGTCAGTCTCCACCACCACGTGGAAGCCAAAGGAAAAGATGTTTATCTTCCCTTGACCCAGCTTCAGGGGCAGATAAAGCCGTTCACCATTGACCTGTAAGAGAAGGCGTAGAGTAGAGAAGCACAGCTGCCCGGAGAGTTCCCAGCTCTCCCACTTGTTAGTCTCAAGGAAGACAAATTCCCCAGGATCCTGGGAAGGTTGAATGCAGCCTTTGCATAGAGTGTTGTTTATGCCAGCCAGTTATTATTATTAGGATTTGAACAGACTTAAATGACTATCCTTTGTAAACGAATATACCTATTTATTTCAGTGTCTTTGGTTTACGTAGCATTTGTTATCCCCCAGGAGCTCAAGTTGTTTTCTCCAAGGTAATGAGAGGGTAATAAGAATTCAATTAAAGTTTAGAATAAAATACCCAAACCTAGAAGTCTTGTATTTCTATTTCCAGCTCTACCACAGATTTATTTTAGGTAAGCCCCAATGTATTCAATTCTTTGGGATTTTTTTTTCCCCTCTTGGAGGATGACTTCACTTGGCAAGTCCCTGCTGGGTACACTCCTTTCTACTTGTCCGCCTCTTCTTCATCCTCCGGACTCTGCCTCTATCACCTGTCCTGTCTGACTAGGCTTAGAATAAATCACTCCTGAGCTGGGCAGGCAGAGATTATGATTTATACAACTATTTTGTTCTCCTCCTATGCTTTGGGTCAAGATCAAGTATGTGTATGCTGCCACTGACATATTCAATGCCACCTGCTGTACACTATGGTCAGCTGTACAGGTCCCATTGCTGCACACTGTGGTTGGTTGTACACGGTCCCTGGCTGCGCACTGTGGTTGGTTGTACACGGTCACTGGTGTGTATTGTGGTTGGTTGTACACAGTCCCTGGCTGTGTATTGTGGTTGGTTGTACACGGTCCCTGGCTGTGTATTGTGGTTGGTTGTACACGGTCACTGGTGTGTATTGTGGTTGGTTGTACACGGTCCCTTACTGTATATTGTGGTTGGTTGTACACGGTCCCTGGCTGTGCACTGTGGTTGGTTGTACACAGTCGCTGGTGTGTATTGTGGTTGGTTGTACACAGTCCCTGGCTGTGTATTGTGGTTGGCTGTACACAGTACCTGGCTGTGCACTATGGTTGTTCATATATGGCCCTGGTTCCTACCAGATCACAACCAGCCTGAGGGCAGAAGCCAGGGTTTACATGTCTGCCCCCCCTTTTTCTTTGGGACTCCTAGGCAGGTGTGTGGTACAACACATCACACTTGGCACAGGTGTTCTGAATTCAGACAACAAAGAAATCCCTTCACAGCTAACTCCAGAACTGTTCTACGCTTGAGCTATTCTAATCCAAATCAACCAGCCCGAGCATGGGTGAGAATCTGATGGCAAATAGAGCCTGCCAGCTCCTTGAGGCAGGCAAGACCAACGGAAGAGTTGACTTCACTGGCAGGAGACAGACGTGTGTTAAGAAGTGCTCTCTGCCTGGCCTAATCCCTCTTCTAGAGACATCCTACAAAACCTACAGCTTTGCCTTATTTCTGACCCTCATTATCCTTGATTTTCATGACCGAACTGTCTCCTAATTCGTCTCCTGGATGCTCTCTCCCCTTCATTTACCTGCTCCCGCCAAGGCAACATTTACAATAACTCAATGGTGTCTCGTGGATATCAAGCTTTAAAGATGCTCAGGCATCTTATCAAGCAGTTGGTCCAATGCTTCAAACCCTCCCCGGGACATGAGAACGCAACCGACCTGTCCAGCACAACCCACTCGCTCTGGCCCTGCCTCTCAGAGTCAGTCTACTTGCTTCTTCCACGCCAGCAACACCCCCACAGTTTGCGGTTTCCTACGTGCACATATAAGTTGAGTGATCCAGCTCCCTGCGACCTGTGCCTCAGCTGTAAGGGGTGTTCTGTGTCCCACCCAAGCCTCCCATTCCCACTCTCTAACTTCTGGGCAGGTGATCATCTTGGCCCAATGGGACCCATTTTGCCTGCAAGGTTCTGAGCCAACACTGGGGACTGAGTCTGCTGTTGGTGACTCTCGTAGTCCAGGCTGATCCCTGGCTTTGGATCAGTCCCTATGAAGCTCTCTTCCCCCAGTGCTCCTCTCACTTTCTCAAAAAGCTCCATCCCATGACAAAAAGACTGCAGCAGCCTTATGGCTCTCATCTCTGACACCTCACCCCAACCCCCAGCCCTGACTCTCTCTCCCAGGTCTGAGGAATGGAGGAAGAAAGGGAGTCCAGGGAGAGGCCAGAGAGAAGGAGAAGCTTCGTAGGGCATCTACAGCCATCCCTCAGTGACCCCAGGAAGCCTGGTTCAGGGACTCCCAAGGGTACCAAACTCCAAAGATGCTACGTTCCATCTATAAAATGGTATCTTCATGCAGTATTGGCATATTAACTCTCACACATTCTCCTGAAGACTTTAAATCATCTCTAGATTATTTATAATACCCAATACAATGCAATGTTATGCAAATTGCCATGCCGTATTGTTTGAGAGAGGAATGACAAAAATCTGCTCACATCCACTGCAGAGACAGATGGAGTTGAGAGAATCTACAGATACAGAACCAGTGGTTATGGAAGGCTGGCAGTGTTGGAAGTAAGATCACACATCGGATTCAGTAGAGCTCATCTTCAGCCGCCGCAGTCCTCACCCCCCACACTTCACTGTCCCACCCCCAGGTCAGCATGGAGGCCTCCCTTGTCGGCTAGTCCTCACCTCACTGCAGGCCAAGGAGATGTGCTCCTTCAGGTTTGAGCCTGGCTCATCTCTTCCAGGAAGCCCTTCTTGAGACCCTCAGGGGGCCAAGGCAAGTTCTGCTATCTTCTCATCATCTTCTATAAGTAACATTTTTTTCAGACCAAAGGCATGGTTGACCCTTTTAATTTTTTTTTCATTTTCATGTTTTATATCATTTGGCAAGACATGCTCCTTTCTTGGCACAGGTTAGGAGCACACAAGCTCGAAGAACTAACCAGACCCAGAGGGATGTTCTCCTTTAAGGACCACCTAATTGATAGTAAGTGGGAAAGGATACTGGCTATGCAGACCCCTCCCCTCCCCAGGCCTCTTCATTGGTCTGGACCGCACAGTATAAGGACAGCTGTAGAGAGAGGCCATTCTGCTATGCCTGGCCAAGCATGGCTCACTTCCTGCCACTCACCCCCATGACCCCACCCGGTCTACAGATAGCATGTTTATTACTCGCTTCCTTTGGCTTAATGGATTTTTGCATGGCTCAGGAGATGCTTGATGCCAAGAAAGGTCAGATTCATCATGGAAGGAACTTGAGTCCCAAGGAGTCATTTCTATGTCACCCTCCATTTCTGATGATCTGGGGCTCTGGGCTGTGTTCTGTCCTACACTGTATCTCCCGCTGTCATGCTGATGGTCACTATTCTTTGGACTCGGGGAGAGATGACTAATAACATCAGGAGAAAAACAAATGCAAATTGTTGACTAAGCAGATCCTGTAATGCATATTAATAATTCAAACTAACTGCTAAATCTATCCCTTGAGCCTCTCAAAGGAAAAAAAAAACAGTGCATCCTGAAAAACAGTGCATCCTGAACTTGGTGTCGTTGTTGGGGGAAGGGGAGTTAGAAGCTGTCTGCTTGCTTCAGTGAGGGCACTGAGGGCTTGTGGGTGAATGAGAAAGAAGAGCCTGGACAAGGCACCAGCTTGCCCTCCTTGACACTCATTGTTTCCCCGTTTGTGGGTGGGATATTGTCTCCTCAAAAGACATGTCAAAGCCATAACCCCTGGTATGTGACCTTTCTTTGTAAATAGTGTCTACACAGATATAATCAAGCTGAGATGAGGTCCTAGTGGATTACATGAGTCCTATATTCAATGATTAGGACCCTTGAAAGGGAGGTGTGTACACAGAAATGGAGACGCAGAGGGGCATAAGGACAAAGGGAAGGACTGGAGTCACGCTGCCATAAAGCGCAGAACAGAAGAGAGGCCTACAACCACCAAAAACTAGGAGACAGGCAGGGGATAGACTCTCCCCTAGACCTCAGAAGGAACATAACCCTGCCATCACCTTGATGCTGAACTTTCACCTTCCAGAACTACAAGAGAGTAAGTTTCTGCTGGTTTGAGCCACCCTGTCTGTGGTGTTTTGTGACAGTAGTCTTATGAAACCAATACATGCCTTCTCTCCATCCATCTACGTGAGGAAGGAGTCAGCAGACTGATGCTCATAGCTCTTGACTTTAACAATGACTACATCTCATGATCCGGGGCAGGGAGCAGGCCTGGAAGATGGGTGCACCCATGAGTGGCTGAGCCCTGAATTGGAAGAAAAGAGAAACCAGGAAGAAGTTCCTGTGGAGGAGAGGGGAGGGAGGGACCAGGTGAAATACAGCAAGTGTTCCTGAAGTTCCAGTGATCTATATGTGCAAACTACTACGAAGACCACGTGAGACTCCAATATTTATATACCTGAATGTTGAGGACGGGTAACACCAGGCAGAAATACAATCGACAGCAAGTGAGGCAAGAGGGCCTATGAATAGATTATATTTTAAAGGGAAAGACAAAGTCCTGAAAGACAGAAAGGCAGAAGGGAGATAAATGTCAAAGGTAAAGTAACTGTATGCAAATCCATAAACAAAAGGGTGGAAATTTATCAGACGAGGCTTGAAGGAGAAAAGGACAAATATGACATAAGCCACACGGACACACAATGATGGATGTGTTTGTTTTAACCTATGATGAAAATAGAGTGGAGAGAATGTATTATAATGGGCAGCTTTGATTACCAAGGCATCGGCTAGAAATCTAATGTGGCTAAAAGCTGGACTATTCCTAACTAGCCTGTTGGCCCATTCACGCTCTCAGAAAGCTCCCAGGACTATGGAAGAAAGGAGTGATGATTTGATCTCAGCCACTCAGGTGACAAGTATCTTTCAAGTGTCACTGTGGAGAGCCCTTTACTTTCATCCAACATAAAGATGAATTAGGTGGTGCTCCTGTCCTTAGGAAGCTCATGGGGAGAATGGAGAGTTAGAGTTGAAAAAAAATGCATTGTGATTAAAGGTACAATGGGCACAGGAATAAACTACTGCAAGAAAGCCCGAGAGGACCCACAGCTGGGCTTGTGCCCCGAAGAACAGCACGAGGAAAGGGCAGGGAGATGATTTTCTGGGTTTCTACGAAGAATGACGTCCCACTATGGGGAGGTGAGGAATCTCTCTCCTTGTCGCAGAGGAGTTCCCAACAAATCCCAAAGAACAAAAGAAACCAGAAAAGGTGCCTGGCAGCTCTAAAGGTTGGAGTTAGTTTAGTTCAGCACAGCTCTAAATTTCAAGATCAATGTCTTCAAGACACAAAGAAGTGCCCCCCGGAGAGAGATGATGAATTGTGTGACACAGACCCACGAGGATCTTATCAAAAAGGCTGACGCCCCCAAATTGGCACCCTTGAAAGGTCCCCACAGAGGCTGTGGGCTGGCTTGCTTGTTGTATTTTACATCCTGTTCAGACATGGCTCGGGAGGGCCAAGCCTTGCCAGTGAAAGGGAGGGGCTGCTGTCATTAAGCCATTCAAGGGGTTCCCAGAATTCCTCAGCACTCTTCATGTCTTCATGGTCAAGGGGCGCTCTGAAGGTGAAAGGATGGGAAAGGTATAATAAAAGGACCTAAAACCCAGGTGAGGAAAGAGATTGTTAGGAGAGTCCCTGCAGAACCCAGGTACTGAGAAGACTCTAGAACTCCTGGATGTGATGGGAGCCAATGGGGAGGCTAGGAAAGGTGGGGGAGACCAGAGGCGGCGCATCCTGGTCTGATCGCAGGAGAAGGAAGAGGGCGACAAGGATAAGAGCACATCTGAGTGGCCTCGTTTGCGATGTGGCTGCTTGCAGATGGATGTGAGGCTGGAAGGCTGAGTGACTGTCTGAAGCCACTCACACACTGGTTCCCAAACGAGGATTCAAATGATGGTCCGTGCTTTCTCTAAAACACCCTGCTACCACGGAAATGGTGTATGTCTAGAGCTATTTCTACTCCTCGTTTGGTTCCCGTGACTTAGACAAATCATTTTTCTCTGTGTTGGGTTAATCTTGGTTGTCAGTTTGATTGGTAGATGGCTAGGAGTTTGTTGATTACATATATAAGGATACATAATATATGGACATATATAATATGCCATATAGTAATTATGTATCCCATGTTATAGAACATGTGACATATAATTATATATCAATTCTAATAGATAACATATATATCATGCATGTGTATGTAGATTGCAGACAGCCCACTCTGGCAGTGGGCTGGCTGCTGGCGCAGGACCCGTGTCCCCTGGAGTCCCTTTCCAGGTTGCGTGTGTATTACTCACCAGCACTGTGTGTTTGTAGGCACGGAGGATCACGATGCTGTAGCCGAACACAGTCACATCCACCTGCTTGACCCACAAGGCCAGGGACGGGTCCCGGTCCTCGTTCTTGGCTGTCACGATGAACTTGGGGAAGGTGTCCGAGCTCGGTCTGTTTCCTGTGGTGCACAGGATGAGCGGGCAGCTGGACTGGAAGTCAAAGGGGTAGCCGTCAAAGGTGAGGTAGTGGCCGTAGCCGGAGATGATGCAGGAGGCATCAGTGCGGGCCCGGCAGCCATACAGGCCGCCCTCCTCCATGCAGAACTCGTCATCCCTGCAGGGGAGGGTCTCGCAGTGGACACTGTTGTCCGTGCCGTTGCAGTAGCAGAAGATCTGACAGTCCTGGTCCACCCAGAAGGTCTCGTTGGTGGCAAGCTGGTGCCCCTCAAAGCTGCAGCCGCACTCGCTCCGGGCCACACACTGGCTGCCCTGCAGGGCGTAGCCCTCATCGCACTGGCATCCTTCCGAGCAGCTGTCCACGCAGATGGGGCCCAGGGCCAAGGTCTCACATGTCTCGGTACACGTCATGCACTCCTCAAAGTGGCTGTTCTCTGGGCACTCCAGGGCTGAGGGTTGTCAAAGAGAAGAGGAGCTTGAGAAAGGGGTGGGGACACACACAGAGGCTTGTGCATGCACAGGTGCACATGTAGAGTGGGTGCATGTGCACATGCATGGGTGTGGGTATGCATGGGTGTTCCTATTTGTGCAGCTCAGAGATCTTGGGGAAGTCACGTGATTGACGCTACTGTCTCATTTGGGCTGGTCAAAGGCCAGGTGAACCACTCGCTCCCAGGCTCCTCTAGCCCACATGGCCTTCTAGGGATATGATTCTGAGTATCTGCTGCCTGCACGCATCGGTGAGCCTTGTCCCAACCACATGGACAGGCAGTCCTGTGCGGGTTGTGCCTGCCTGCATGCAGTTGTAGGTAAGTGACCCCTGTCTCTCTGCTACTTTGATTAGTCACAATTTCTCAAGGACAGGACAGAAAATAGCAGTGCAAGATATCTGCCCATGAGGTCTAAAGATCTGAAAAGCTTCCACCCTCTCTAGAAAGATGAACTCGTGCCTTTAGAACTTTCTTTGGCTGTGATACAAACTGTCATTCTTTAGTAGTGTCTCACAATCCAAGGTCATGAAGGACACTACCGAGAAATAAATTGCATGGCTATAATAGCGCGGCCCACAAGGACCCATTCAATAGTTCTGCACTGTGTACTGTAAGCCAATCTTCTTTTCCTCTGGGCTAAAGGACTCTCTCCATTTCTGTTGACTACAATACCATCCGGCTTTGGAGTTGAAGGCTAGTTCAGCAATGATTATATATGGCTGCATAGGGGGATTTTCACATTTGTCTCTAAATTATGAATGTTATAACAGTGACTGCAGGTTTATGGTGATAGCAAATAACATGACTTATTTAAATGGCTCCGGCTTTATGACTTATCGTGTTGTCTGAATTTGTCTGAAAGTCTGGAACACACAGACGTGCAGTCATAAAACTTCCCCCAGCCCCTGGAAGGACTCTGAAATTACTTAATTGGGCAGCTTGGCTCTACCAACAGGCGGGATGGTGGGAAATGTCTGAATACAGAGGCAGTGCTTCAGAGAGGATGGGGCTGCCCAATCCAAGCCCCCTTCTGCAGGACCCCAATCACATTAACCCCTTCGTGCCTGGAGACCTGAGTGATCAAGTATGCTCGGCCCCTCTACCCAGACCCAAGCACACGGATGTGAGCCCTGGCTCTCTGCTCAAGGAAACCACATTCTAAGTGGCCATGTTGGCCCAATCTCTCTCTAGAAATGTCCTCAGGAGAGCTTCCTCCACTCCACTGGCCCGGGGAAAGGAGCCATCACCAGTGCTGTTCACCAGGTTCCGCCCCCTGCTGTGTTCCGCCGCAGCACAAAAACAATTTCGCTGCTCTGCTCACCAGACACGAGCCAGTCATCCAGAAGGATGGCCTGCCAACAACACAGATTTGGTACGGCAAGACTCAGCAGTTCCACACCACGAGTGAAAGACAACCGGAAAGCTGGGTATGCAGCAGGAGAGAAAAGCTGGAGGTTGGGCAGAGAGGCCAACTTGGGGAGATGTAGCCGTCAACAGAAATGACCTGAAACTCGCTCTAGGATTCGTGTCACCTGCTGGGGTGGGTGAGGTTCAGAAGTGACAGCCACCGAGCTCTCCCTATGTACTCTTTGGGTTTCCCAAGCTCAGGAATTCTAAAAGTGTGTGTGTGTGTGTGTGTGTGTGTGTGTGTGTGTGTGTGTGTTAGTTCTTAATTCTGTTGAAAAGACTACAAGCAAAGCAAAAATACAGCAAGAGCAATGGGTTCCCCTGGCCAGATGCTGGTATATATGAAGGCCCTTAGCAATAGGAAAGAGAGCTTCTTAGAGCAAAGGCTAAAAGCAGCCTGGGGAGAGAAGGTTACAAGATGAAGACAGAGCATCTCATTTCATCAGTAAGTGCTCAAAAGGATAGAAACATTACAAAAGGATACAGGAGCCTGCTTCTAGGCATGCCCACAAGTCAGGGTTGGAACCATTGTAATGCCAAAAGTAATTAACAAGTGTAATATGAAATATGAGTCATTAAAATGGGCTCTGTGTTCATGAATTGATGGTAAGAGAGAAGAGACCAAGAGACAGGAGTGGATGGATGGAAGGGTCGATGGGTAGACAGATGGGAGAGGATGGGGGAGGGCTCTTAGCTATAGTGGAGCAATGGCTATTCACTGGGGGGAGAATTGGAAGGCTGTCCACTTGTAACCGCAGCACAACATAGGCAAGCAAAACCCGACAAAGAGTGCCGAAACAAGAAGGGAGGTGCTGATGAGGAGCAGGTTGTTCACATGGTCTCAATCTGCTTGCAAGAGCAAACACACTGAGGGCCACTGGACAAGGCCTTGCCAGGGGCCAATGTGAACCTCACACTAGGGGGGCTGAGCGCAGGAGTCCACACAGGCTGGGATCCCAGGAGAAAGCCACCCAGGACCTGTGCAGGTCCCTGGGCGGGATGGGCAGAGGAGGCATGGTCAGGAGGAAACGTCAAATCCAAATGGAGGGTCATCTGGACCACAGTCATCCTCAAAAATGTCCATGGCATGAAAGACAAAGGGAAGGGAAGGAACTGCCCCAGATTAAAGGACATGACAATGAAATGCGTCAACAGGCAGTTTTAGACTAAATGGGTACTAAGGCTTCCCCCTACCAAAGTAAAAGCCATAATGGGCATTACAGAGCCAACTGACCACATTAGAATATGGGTGTAAAATGGCTGTATCAGTTTTAAGTTTCTCAACATTGATAACTATGCTGTGGTTATTATGCAAGCAGATGTCTTTACTCTGAACACACACTGAAAGGTAGGGGTAAAGGAGTGCTTTCGTTTGGATCTTAAAGTGCACTCCCAAGGGTAAAGTGCTGCTCCGCAGCATGTGTTGTTGGGAGGTGCTGGAGCTTTAATAAGGCGGGGTGGAGAGGGCAGTCTTTCTGTCATTGGTCATTGCAGCTGTCTGTGAAGGAGACACTGGGGCTGCAGTGGGACCTCCTCTCTCATTCAGGAAGGGAAGAAGGGCTTTTCTTTCTCCTCTGCTCTTCACTGTGATATGTTGCTTTGTCACCACCCCAAACCAACAGGGCCCACCAACCATGACCTGGAGCCAGCCATGCACCAAAGGAAGCCCTTTTCTCTTAGGAAGTGGATTACCTCCATTGTTTGTGATAGCAATGGGCATGGTAGATACAAGTCACCCTTAAACAGAGAGGGGGGAAGAAAGAGAGAGAGAGAGAGAGAAGGGGGAGAGGGAGTCAAAAGAGAGCAAAATGTGTGAGCATTGACCTGAGTGTAGGTTGAGCGCTTTGGGGGAAGACCCAACATGTGCTGAAGTTCACCCTCTGAGCCCCTTCCTCCCCCTGGGCTGCTTCTGATAAGCCAGTGGGTGTAGTGTCTTGTCTTTTCTAGTGACTATGAGTACTGTCATCGATTCTGGGAACAAAATGAAGAGCCAGGGCCGTGGAACTGTCTTAACAGTCCCTGTCCGCTTTGTCCCCCAGGGACTGGTGTTCACCTCCACACCCTGAAACACAGGCTCCTGATCAGCACTTCTTATCAGAATGAGGGGATTCCTTCTTCTCTGACAAAGGAGCAGATGCCTACTGAGCTGTCTCTGGACAGAACATCCGTGCCCTGGACTAGATAAAACCACAGGTCAGTAGAGTGGCTAACTGACTTGCAATTTAAAGAAAAGTATTGTGTAGGAATGGAAATGAAGGCAAGAAAGAGTGAGGTTCTGGGTGATGGACCCCCTTCAGGACACAGTGTACCCTTTGTTCCCCCCACCCCCCAGGAAGAGAAGTCCTGAGTAAGAAGATGAGGTGAGCCATGCCCCCCCCCACTCCCTACCTTTCCCTTGCTGCGGCCTCAACTTACGGCAGAAGTCGTACGTCCTCCAGGGGCCCACCTCCACATCGGCGTTCTTGCACGCGCCGGCGTACCGCGCCACCGAGTCGCAGAGCTCCGACTCGTTGCCTCCACTCTGGCACAGGCGGAAGAGGCAGGTGCGGTAGTAGGCGGTGACGTTGACCACCGCATGGCACTCTAGGAAGGAGCTGTTGGAGGGGTCGTTGATGATGCCGCACCGGGAGCGGCTCCGGTAGAACTTGAGCAGCTCCGAGTCGTTGTTGCAGGCCTTCAGCAGGTCCCCGCATTCCCCGTTGCAGATTTCCTCGAACGTGGTCCAGCTCTCGAGGAACACAGCCAGGTTGTCGGTGCACCTGCCGGTGGGCAGGCAGAACTCGTCACTGGCATTGGCGTTGAAGAAGCCACACAGGCCCCCGGTGCAGTTGAAGTACGCGGTGGACAGGCGGATGTACAGCAGACCTGCGTCCGAGTACTGGACGGTCACCACGCCTTTGGACTCCACCGTTGTGCTGTTTCTGTTGCGATAAATCTCTAGCTTCCCCGAAGGATGGAAAAAGGGTAATTCCACTTCCTGGCTGTTCAGCTGGAAACAAATCAAAGCACCATCATCAAGCACAGAAGCAAACTAAGGACCCAGGCCATGGGCTGCGGCTCTCCCCGCTGACTGCAGATTCTCTCTGAGAAAAATCCAGAAGCTGCTGAACACCTGAAACTGTGGGCAGATAATTGCTTATTCGTGGGCTCATCTGTCTGTCCTTCCTTCCTTCCTTTCTTCCTTTCTTCCTTCCTTCCTTCCTTCCTTCCTTCCTTCCTTCCTTCCTTCCTTCCTTCCTTCCTTCCTCCCTTCCTTCCTTCCTTCCCTCCCTCCCTGTCTCTGTCTCTTTCTTGCTGGTCCTGGGGTTTGAACCCAGGGCCTGGGCACCAGCCTGGCTTTTGTGCTAAAGACTAGTGCTCTACCCACTTGAGCTACAGCTCTACTTCCTATTTCTTACTCCCTCTCTCCCTCCCTCCCTCTCTCTTCCTTTCTCTCTCCTTCCTTCCTTCCTTCCTACCTTTTCCCCTTCCTTCCTTCCTTCCTTCCTTCCTTCCTTCCTTCCTTCCTTCCTTCCTT